CTGCAGGGTCAGCCTCATATGACCCAGAAACTTACTGAGAATCCAAGTGGGAGGGACTATCTGTCCTCTGTAATTTGCTCAAATAAATGACGTCTCCCTAGTCCAGGGAGTTTGATGAGTTTTATCAAGACAGCATGGGACTCGTTTTGTTCAGCAGATGTCTGATAAAACTATTTTYTCACCACCATTGCTGTATGGTCAGGTGTCTGGTTATGCCATTTCAAATAAGAAGTCCTTCTTTCTCAAGCATTGTGGTTGTATTACCATCCCTGATGTTTTGTGTGGAAGACRTTAGAATTCTGAACTCTTTGGAAAACACAATTGTGTAGCTGCTACCGTTCACTGTAATGAGCAAGTTGCGGAGGACAGACTACAAACACTTTGATATACATGTTTCTGTGTCAGTGATCCTCAAACTATTGGTCCTATCAATTTCATAGATACCAAAGGGCCTGTTCTATTGGGTAATGAATAATACCACAGACTGGGAGTATTCTCTCACCCTATCTTCCCTTGTTGCTTGAACCTGTAATAAATTTCCCGCTMATGCCATATGGTAGCAAGTGGAGTGTGGGATTCAGTTTGCTGTGTTATTTATTTATTTCCCAGGTGTTGCTTTTCTATTAGTGATTTATGTGTTATTGTGTATGATCTGCTGCTAGGATCTATGACAGAGGGTGTGCAGGGTTTTTGGAAGCAAGCCCAGAGTGAAACTAAGCTTTGGATTCAGAACAATGAAGCAATGCCATACAATAGGCTTAATCTGTGAGCTTTGTATTTATTTATTTTATTTTTTAATAGGAATGATCAACCAAATTCCAGCTAGCAAAACAAAAGAAAAGATGTTTTTTTTTCTTCCAACTCACAAAACACTTGTAAATTTAGTYAATGTGCAATGTGCAAGAAAGTTATCATTGAAAATAAATGCCGATATTTCAGTAAGCAGTACAGGGAGAAATTATGTTAATAATTTAGCAATGCATTGTTCAATGTCAACTGTAAAAAGATTAGAAGTAAAAAAATACATATAAAAAAAACAGGTTTCCAACGTCAGGCACAAAACTTTAAAAGAACCAGCCAATTGCAGTGATTTATTATCTGTGAGTTTGCCCTAAGTGCTTGTAACCAACTGAACTGTCTTTCAAACAGAATAACTTTATATTGGTTCAAAAACCATGAAAGACAGTGTGGGTTGACTTCTATTCAAGTATCTAAAGATGCCTGAAAATCTTTACTGACATCTTTTTTATGTGTTTATGTCACACTAAACAGATTGCTCAGCACTTACTTCTTTTCTGAGTATATTACAATTTCATGAAAAAAGAAGAGAAAAATCAAAGCCTTTATTATAAACTATGGAAGCTTATTGATGAATGGCAAAAGCACATTTTCCCCCATGCAAGGTACATAAACACATACTGTATTTGTCTTGTTTATTTATTTATTTATTTATTTATTTATTTATTTATTTATTTTTATTCATTCTCATACAAACCAATTCAAGAAGACAACTAAATAAAATTAGGACAAAATAATTTTCAATACATTCTCCTGTTAAAGAAATGCATATGTTTAAAGCAGTTCTAATTATTTCCTTTTGTCTTTTCAGTGAATATATGTAATGATGTTTTTCCTTATGTTGTTTTACCTTTTAAAATGTGTTTTCAATTATAATGTTGAACACATTTCTTTTCTTGGAGTGCCTATAGTGCACATTTTCTCAGTTAGATGTTTACGATGATTAATGAACTCTCTCTCATCTCAACAGACAAGGCTATGATGGTCTGGAAAAGAAGCTAAAAGAAGTCTTCAGTGAACGAAGCAGCATCTTGCATCAGCTCTCAAAAACATCAAAGGAATTGGACAGCATAAAAGGCAACCTACAGGTTGGAAATTTACATTTTTTCTTTCTTATTCAGCAGCAATAATATTTTTTTAGTTCAGTCTTTTGTTATATTAGGTAATATTTGAGATATACATATACCGGGGTAAACACTATGATTTTTCTAAGTTGGATGTAAGTCAACAGGAGTTATTAAAAACTGATGTGGAAATATTTTACTTTTTTATTTTTGATTATCCTTCCTATTGTTGTGTCAATATGTCAAAATTGTGTCTCTAGAAGTATAGCCCCTAAATATGGAATTTACATTGCCCAGGTTAAATTAAAAAGCCCTTTGAAAACTTAGAAAATAAAGTAAAATTGTTTAAATAATGTTCTATTTTTTTCAGTAGAATCCATATATACTCTCTTAAAAGGCTTACACAAGTTATGAGATGTGGATTGCATTTTAAACATGCAATTATTAGATTAGAACTTTTTTTAATTTCTTCTTTTTTTAGTGTCCTTCACAGCTTTATATGCAAACTTGTGAAACTATTTTCTTTTTTCAGTTTTTATTTTATTTTATTTTATTTTATTTTATTTT